GCAGCGAGGAACAACTTTGCCTTTGACTTGATTTACTGGCACAAGATTGATCAGCGATTTTTTGGATCGACGTCTACTCCCATCGATGATGTTTGGAAACAGAGACTGGTCATACTGGAGCCTGCAGAGAGAGCTGAGATTGAACAAATAGTGGCGATTAAGGTTGAAGAGATGCAGACACGGCCATTGGCTTGGGATCCGGATGGATACACCAGGGAGGTCTCAGATACCCTCTGCGAAACTAACGTAGACAACGAGTTTGAAAGTGAAACCTCTGAATATGCACCAGACGAGAGACATGGTCCGACAACGCTGGAAGAATTGTCTCTGGTCGGTGATGGCTCATTTATCATCTTCAACAAGCTTCGAAGAAAGGTATATTAGCAATCTATTTCCGAAGCAGAATGACTATATGTTCATTTAAGTAGCTGTCCCCAAATATTTACGTTGACCAGAGAGCATTTGCTCAGTTGGTTATAGTGACACCGTTGCATACATTTAGTTATAGTCTCCACTTGATATGTCTCTTCCTCACAGGCCCTCTTTGCGTGGGTCCTGGTGTGAGATCAGGCCGCTCTTTTGCTATATCTAGCAAGGTGGAGATGGCACGCTTTGCACAGAGAAAAACGTGTGCATTATGAATAACCCATTATATATGCGCAGAGAGCACGAACGAACAATTCTACTAGCGGTTAGAGACCAAGACAACGGGGCATGCTCTAGTACATCACCAAGCCGCTCACGACTGACAGCAAGATCACTTGAACTCAGGGAACTCCTCCTCGGTCCAGACCTGCCACACCAGCCGCTCACCACTAACAGTGCCACTTCTCATAATGTCTAAAGCTTTGCGCGCTCTATCCAAGAGGGTCTCTCCTTTGACCACCTGCTGCTTGTTCGGCTCGATAGCACCTTGGGCCAAAAGCGTTGGCATGATCTCAGCTTGAAGATGGTCCCGCAAAAATTGATTCTGAAGACGAAATATTATTAGCCCAAACTCAGTAGCTATTACCATGACGTTTCCTATAGAACCGAAGAAGACATAATATGGAAGTGCCGACATACCTCTTCATAGTTGTAAACTACAATGGGGTGGATTTCCACTCCCGATGCCCAGGGCGCTTCCGCAGAGACATCTGGGGAAAGCTTGAGACCGTCTTTTTCAGCTGAGGTGCTGATAACGACTGGAAGAACAGCAGCAACAGCTGATCCTGATTGTGTCGCAATCTTGGAGATTGGAATCAAGGAACCGTACTTCGAGGCTACGGTGTCAAAGACACGAATACTCTCTGAGTGCCCTTGACTAGCCAAGAGTTCGAGGATGGAGGCAGTAACATTGGGGTCGCGATAGTCAAAGACGTGTGCCGCACCATAAGCCTTGATCCTTTCATGATGCTTCGGCGAAGCTGTTGCAATCACGTTCGTGTATCCCCAGTGTTTGAGGATTTGCACCGCCGACTGCCCCACAGAACTGGCAGCACCCCAGATGAGAACCGGTACGTCTTTGTCGGATGGGGTGAACTTGTCTGGACGCGGCCAAGGTAGCTCAATTTTAAGTTTTTCAAAAAGTGCAAAGAATGCAGTGCAGAAATTTGTCGGTATGGTAGCCGCAGCAGACAATGGAATGCTTTGTGGGACCTGATACTCCGGGTTAAACGGGCATAAAACAACATAATTTGGAAGTAGTGTGTGAACGAACCTTACCAAAAAGGGTCTCTGGTGCAGTTACATATACTTGCTGACCCTTTTGTGTCTTGTTTTGGAAAAACATTCCGAACACCCGATCGCCAACTTGGAGGTGCTTGACTTCAGGACCAACAGCTACCACAGTCCCCGCGGCCGTATCACCCAGCGTCTGAGGGAACTGGACCATGAGCCCGGCATCAACTTGCCAGACATCCAACGGGGCGGATGGAACCCATTCTACCCGGACCTGAATTTCCCGATGGGCAGGCTTCCAAGTCGGAACATGCTGAATTGTTAAAGGCCCCTTCAGTGCGGGTACGATGATTGCTGGGTGGGTGGCCATGATAATGTAGACTATGAGTAAGGAAACGGATTGTAGTGGAATAGAAAGAGTCGTGCTTTTAGTGCGAACCCAGAGGTTCTTCGCCAGCTTGAGGGCTCATAGTTCAAATATATAACCAGGACCCCACACACAATGGAGCCCGTCACAACTGGGCTGGCAACCACTTTGGATCGAATACAATGTGTTATAAATCCGTGTCTACTCATGATTGACGAACCTTGAGCCACTGACTTCCAAACAGTTCGATTGTCAATCATAACGGTGACATTCGAACAATCACACTGCCCCATGCAGGTCTAGCTGATGGAAAACCTAGATAGCGTGCTGACAGTCGGTATCTCATTGGTGGTGTCAGCAATGCGCATTAGCTTCCGCGGAAGTGGAGTCCCCCATGGTCTGGTTGTGCCTGCAGGATGCGTGATGAATATTGAATACACGTAAAAGGCACAATTGATTTGTGTGATTAGTATATTGTATTGTAGTATGTACGTTGGCCAGATTTGATCGTTGCTATTTGATAAGGTCCGTTTACGAAGCGAAAGAACGAGATGAATAGAGTACGGAGTAGAACAATAGCAATCAAGATGGTGCCACATGAAGTAGGTAAATTTTCTGTCCGTTCCTATGGGATAGTCCAAGTGAAGCAACATGCCCGGTTTATATTGCCTATGAGCGTGCGCTGTCAGTCGCTGTTGGGACATGTCTCGATGGAAATATCGTTTATGGTCTAGCGTTTAATAGCACGTCGACAGTCCTGATCCTGTGAGCTCCGGCAAAAAGCCCTGACACGGCGACACCTTCTGAAAGTGTGGAGATGCCAAAAGCTACACTCAGGGTTCAGGATGATGGCTACATCCACCGTGTAGAATCCATCATATCCCACATCTACAAACCCGACGGGAAACCGTCGGAGTTACCGGACTTTACTTCCGTGCAGTGTTTGCCCCACGGCCATCAACCGCTGCTTCGACGGTCCCGGAAATAGCCACACAACAGACTCACCCTCCAGTTTGACTGTATCCCAACGCTTGTACCCTCCTCCTTTCTCGCTGCCTATATCTGAACTCGGAGGCTTCCAGCCGTGACAGTATTTCCCCTGAAACCGGCCTATCAATCATTGGCGATCAGCAAAATGGCTCGCATTCTTATTACTGGCTCGGTCGACGGGCTTGGCCTCGAGGCTGCCAGGCAGCTTGTTAACAGAGGTCACACCGTATACCTGCATGCGCGCAATGAACAACGTGCAATGGACGCTAAATCTGCGTGCCCGGGTGCCGCCGGGGTGTTGACTGCCGACTTATCCAGGATGGAAGACGCACGAAAGCTCTGCGACGATGCCAACGCAATTGGTGATTTTGATGCTATCATCCTCAATGCTGGAATCATGCAGGGTGGCTTTCGGAAGAATGCGGATACTGGTGTTCCAGCCTTGGTGTCGGTCAACCTTATCGCACCTTATGTGATGTCCTGTTTGCTGCGTCCACCCAAACGCCTCGTTTTCATTTCCTCGAACCTGCACCGGTACGCAGACATGTCAAGTATGGATGATATGTTCTGGTTCAAGCGCGGGGAGGCCAGATACCAAAGTTACCCGGCATACTGTGATTCTAAACTTCATGTGATGCTCCTCGCCAATGCAGTCGCTCGGCGGTTCAGGAACACATCGGTGACCTCGGTGCACCCCGGGTGGGTGGCAACCAAGCTTGGCGGACAGGGTGCCCCAGATAAGGTGGAGAACGGTGTTGAAACGTATGTCATGTTAGCCGAAGGGAATTATGATGAACAGAACCTGTCTGGAGGGTATTTCGAGCCCAAGGGGAAGATTGGTCAGCCGATTCCGGCTGCAAGAGATGAGGATTTGCAGGAGAAAGTCGTCGAAGCCTGTGAAGAGGTCACTGGCTTGAAACTGCCGGCTTAAAATGCAGAACCTTCTATTGAGGTGATGACGAACTATGCCAACGTCTTGACTAGATTCACCATAAAATGTGCATAGATATTGACTGCAATGTACTCCAAGTTTTCAATGCCTCATCACTCAAACCTGTCTCATGATAGAAGGGTCGAGGAGGACATGAGCCTCTTAAAATACATCCGTAGAACATATTCCCGATCGGCACAGCGCCCTCTACTGTTGAACACTGTAGGACTAAGCAAGATATTTGGAACGTGCCAGAGTGATTGTCTGGACTGCTATCGCCCTGATGAATGTGATTGAGGATAAGAAGTATGGAGTGCTTATGCACTTTGGGGAGCCTCAAGTGACCAAAATCGCGAATCCAACTGTAATAAAGGAGAATAAAGGTGCGACAACCTGACAAGATACGATATAAGCACGTGAGACATGATAACCTATCCTGTCAATCTGAAGTTTGACGATGGCTGTACCTACGCGGTCGATGAGGCAGGTCCAATATTGAAGACACTAATGAAGGTAGGCGTTCACCTCGATACAGGAAACGTAAGCAAGGTCAAGGAATCATAATGTGTTTGCTAATGAGGCAATATTCCATATTCAGTTATTAAAGTGAGGGTTATGCTCGTGCATGGCTGCTCAAGATATGGTCAAATAACGAATAGCTGTGGTGACACTGGTACCTCTAACATCGTGATGGAAAGAGGATACTTGGATTGCATTGACATCCGCCTCAACTATGTTGCTCGGTTGAACTACAGGTCTGCTGTCCCCAAGGATCGCCTTGTGGGGGAGTAGACTCTGTGGACTTCGCTAGGGCAGCCGCGGTATATCGTCTGCTATGTCATTGAACTCGCAAGGTAGGCCTCTAAAGAGAAAGAGGGAAAAAGGAGACTTTCTTTTTTCAAAACCAATACTAGCCGTACAACCCACTGGGGCCCTCCCGCGAACAACTAGATAATGGTCCCGAGACGGGAGACACATCAAGTTATCAGAAAACGCAATCGCCTCTTAAATCCAACACAGATCATTGGCCGTTCATCATCCATATCCCCGACCATGGATGGGGAAGCCCTTGAAACGGCATCAGTTCAGCTCCTTCTGTGGTCTGCGCTGACCCAATATGACCCTGCTCTAATCAAGATCGGCGGCGTGGGTCTGGGCTCCGCCGATAAGATGAAGCGTGCCAAAAACAACTCCAACACCGCCCACTTAGCCGCTATAACCCAATCTGGGGTCACTTTGCGAAACCCCACGGCGTCCATTTCAAGGTTTTGGGGTTGGTTCAATCTTCCTGTACGCACCTTCTTAGCTGAATACGTATGCTCCTAGGCTACAGTATTCGCAATTGTCTTCCGCAGTGATCGCAGATCATAGACATGAATACATCACAAATTCTGCCTAACTTACTGAATCAAGAACCTAAGAGCCCTGCTGGAGTGCCGACAGACGCTAGCCGTTTTGCCAGTGCATGGTTGGGGAATGAGGAGACCGAAGATACTCAAGATCCTCGGAGATAACAGACTCTTCATGTCGCTGCTGCCCTGGACCCACTCGCTTGAGAATCATTGCCTGATCAGAAACACTCTGTCCCGCTCCCGAGGATCACTTTTTTTCTTGTCTAAACGATCAGTAGTATAGATAAATAGAGATGATGAAGATTTAGCCTACCGAGTTCCATTGTAATACCGAGTCCCCACTCCTGACCCTCCATGTCCGATGTGAGTAGCACATCTACGTCTATTCAAGATGTCTGTTCAGGGGCAATATCCTATCGCTTAGCCTGGCAGAAATGCATAAACTTGATCCTAGTTTTAGCTGCATGGATCCAGCTTTGTGCCACATCCGACCTCCGACCATTAGATCCCAATTTAAAGGGATTGTTACGCATGCAAGGTGTGCGTTTCTTCTAAAGTACCCGTTCTTACCCGCGGCAGATTTTCCGTCCGACCCACCAGTCTATGGGTCAAACTGGGGTATGTCCGTATATCGCTCCCTGTTCAGAGCATCTAGATTCCTCCAATGAGGGCTGTGGATATGGCGATGATGCACTTTACAAGACGCACTGGCGCTTTTAGTGTCTTTAGAAGGCCTTAACAAAATTCCCGATATCGCGGACTACATGGCGTGGCTAACGCGTCTATCATATCGCAGCTGACGAGGCCATAGGGAGTGGATTGCACCGGAACTCCGTGATGTGCCGTCGGGGGAGAAAGAGATACCCTAAGTACGTAGTGATCGTTATACACGTACTCAGGCGTGTTGCAGAAATGAATGTCCGTGGCCTGGACTGCGAAGGGTGCAATCGGTATTCATGTGCACCTTGACCACACTGCTCCGGCATGAGCGGCTCATGATCACCGATCGTAACTTCCTCATCGTGCTCCCGGAGCCACTTCTTCGTGGAAGTTCAATCAATACTAGGATATAATTTTTGTTAGCTATAAAAGGGCGTCCTGTACTTCCAGTACATCTTCTGTTTCATTCTTCTCCTTTCATAGTCACTCATTCCATCTCAATTTCTTTCCATTCCAAGTAAAGACTATTTACCGTCACAATGAAGGGCTTTGGATCCGCTGTTTCTATGTTTCTTTCTTTGGGCACAATTGCCGTTGCCTCGGCGTCCTGCGATCCGAGTACCCTGAATACCACAAGTTATCTCTACGATATCACCGAAGAGACTACAGTGTTCGAGGTTGCCCGCAAGACCAACCGCGGTGTCTGTGACATTGGCCGACACAACCTTATGGCAGATGTGACCATTCCACCTAATATTGGCGAAGTCTTCATCATCCCTGGCGAAACCTGCACTCCAGACAATGAGTCTTGCCTGATCAAAGATGTGGGCCGTACCCGGACTTGCATCTACGGTGGACCACGTTTGTACTACACCGTCAAAGGGGACACATATGAAAAGATTGCCCTCCGCCTCAACATAACTACCGAATCACTCTCGGGCGGTCAGTCCGCTAATGAAACATTGCGGGTTGGCCAATTCATCAAGGTCCCCGAGTGCTCGCCGAGTCAATGTATCATCCAGCCTTATTCGTTTGAGTGGGGTGTGTATAAGGATCTTGCCGACAAGTATGGGACGACTGTTGGCCAAATCATGATGTTAAGCCCGACCTACAACTACAGCAGTCTGGCTTTCAGCAATGGGGGAACAGCTCCGCCAATTGATCTTCCGATCAACTGCACTGCTCTGTCGAGCAATATCACCGTTATTAGCTAGAGTTGTTCCCTTTGGGGTCGGTTGAAGAGACGGCTTTATCCAGTCGTATGCGTCCATCATTGCATTTATTCTGCTCGAAGCCCATATACTTTCCTTTACGTTCCAACTGGGTGTTGACTTTAATCACGGGTTTGGGAAGGGGTTGCTATTGGAGAGGCCTTTTAACAATTGCCTATCTGTAAATTAGGAGCTTTTCAATCCAGGTCACTAGATGATGAATACATCAATGGCCACCCTTGAAACAATATAAGAAGTATAAACTGTCTTGTTTGTCGGCTGCGGCCATAGTCATCAACCCTCTGAAAGCATTCTGATATCCCAAACTGAACATTATACAGTCCACACTATATTCTTGCTATTGTAGGGTCCGCGTTCATTAGTCTCTTTGGTGAGACAAGAAGAACGCTTGACTTAGCTGAAGCCGCCGGCTGCGTGCTGTTCGGGTCGTAATCTGACTTCTTTGGGACACACCATTGGGCAGTAGAGGCATTCAGACCAGTCGGAAATATTGCGTATACTCCCTTATGTGAAGTCTGAAGGACCCAATAGGATTGACGGCGGTTGCCTATTCGGAGGGCTCGAGGCTCCGCTCGGCCCTGTGATGTCGGAGGTAAAAGGATTGCGCAGCTGCCTCTTTCAGTTCGAGGAATGATAATAGTTACAGCCGATGCCGCAATTTCCAAGCACGAAAAAAGGCACCCCCACCACCTTCCAGTCCTCATGTGGGATGTGGGAGAACGAGTGGGTGGACCTCTGATCCCAATTGCAAAACGTCCTGCCTCGACTTGCTGGGAATGATCCATTCATTTTCTATGAAGGGCTTAAACACTATGGCCGAGCTCTCATGCAATACATGCGGGAGCAAATCTGGACGAAGAAGATTATCCCGTGTCGTTTGACAAAACAAGCATCAGAGGGGTATAGAGCGGCCCGGACGAGGCCCGAGATTGCTAGGAATGGCGTATCGTATTGTATTTTCTCCACCGGTCTTTTGAGATGGAGTGCAACTACGCAAGGTTGCAACATCAAATCCGTCAGCCTTTACGTGTACCTGATTGGGAGGGCGCGGATCGCTTCGGGTGGGCAGGTCCGAGGGACAATTCGCTATACGAGGTGCAACAAGTGATCGCCGACGGGTATCCATTTCAGGGTTCAAGGTCCGAAAGGTGGAGATCCCGGAAACTTCTCTGCGTGGCACCTGCATTTTTTGACCCTCCACACTAGAAGACACTAAATTAAGCCCTGAGGGCCATACTCCTGCGCTGAGATAATTTTGCCCATCTAAGCGAAGATGGCTCTGGTACTTTCCAATTGTCAGCGGGTACATCCCCACCCCATCCCGCTCTTCAGAGTCCTGAGTTCTGAGTTCTGAGTTCTGACATTTAAGACAAAGTTTGGCCCTGCTTGCTTTTCGACTACGGCCCAAGTTTGTCTCAGAACTTGGGTTTAATCGCAGGTTATCGTGTGTGAACGGTGACCTGCTTTCTGTTATCTTTATATCAACCCATTCAACCAATACCTGTCACCCCTGCCACTAGGGAGTGGAAAGAGCCATGTTTGTTTCGAAGGCATGGGCCTGGCTTGCATTAGCCTCTGCCACCCTAGTCTCTGGTGTATCGCATGCAAAAGACCAGGCTAGGAGGGAAGCCACCTCAGATACAAAACTAGGTACCTTCCTCCACAACCGCATCAGTCCCAATTATTCCGAGCTGTATATTGCCGAGCCAGACGGCTCCAATGAGAAGCTCCTCCTGGGTTCCAACACCGTGTACGACTTCCGAGCCAGCTGGTCCCCTGACGCAAAGTATGTTTATTTCACGTCGGAGAGAAGAGGGGACGGCCAGGCGGATATCTACCGTGTCGCCATTAATGGCACCAGCACCGTGGGGGCAGAAATAGAAGAAGTCGCTTTGTCACCCGGTGTGGACGACTCTGCTTCGATCTCCCCTGATGGCAAGATGCTGGCATTTGCAACTTCGAGATACAATCAGACTAGCCAGATAATGCTCATGGTCCTGGAGACCGGATCGCTCAAGAACCTCACGCTCATTCCCGGTATCTCCGAGGCCGCCAACTCTTCACTACCCAATGGATACTTCAAGCCGACATGGTCCCCTGATGGAGAGTGGATCGTCTTCACATCCGATCGCAACACCCCATGGCGGGGCCACAGCGACGGCTCTGGTTGGGAGCATACCCAGGAGTTGTCCATTTACGCAGCCCGCCCCAATGGTACCGACTTTCGTCTCGTCTCGTCTCGGAGCAACTACACCCAGGGATCGCCTAGATTCTCTCCAAATGGAAAGCGCCTGGTCTTCTATGAGATGTTGACGGAGGACACATACAATGGTCGTCTGCAGCCTGAGCTGCTCGAAGGAGCTTACCTCAACACCAGCATCGTCTCGATTGATTTCGCCACTGGTGGTGACCGCATTGTTCATGCTACTGGAGATGGGACCAAGATCAGTCCTTCATTCGTCACCGACGATGTAAGTATCCCGATTCAGCCACAGTGTAGCATTTCATACTGATCATCGAATGCACCCGACAGGTTATTGGCTACGTCATGAAAGAGGCGGCCAGCAATGGTATCTACTACACCTCCATCTCGGGTAAAAACTACACGCAATACCAGACCATTCCCATGAATACCATGACACCTGCTATACGCTCCCCTGCCTGGTCGCCAGATGGCAAATATATCATCTATGAAAAACAGGGTCCCACGGGCGGTAGTACGTCGACATCGAAGACTCAGTATTCCCCGCTGTGGAACTTTGACCCGGACTGGGACTACCGCTTCACGGATGTTTTCCCGATGGCCAAGCGTGGAGGCTGCCCTATGATGGCCATGTCACAGCAGATGGAGGGTGTCGCAGATAGCAATCTTATGCGTCTCCAAATAAACGGCACTGATCAGGTTACCCTCTTCGAGACCAAGAAGGGCATGATCAATCCTTCTATCGCGGAAGGCTTTAACGCTCGTGCCTATCAGGGCAACTGGGGACCGAATGATACCAACATCACGTTCGGCTACGGTGCATACTTCGTGGGTCGCCAAAGCAGCCCGGGGTTCATCTTCAGTGTTACCCCGGAGGGTACGGGCGTGACCCTCCTCGCCGGCAACAACATCACCAACTACGGATTCCCGTCTTACAACCATGATGGCACCCAGGTCGTTTTCCGGACCTGGCCTGGTACGGCCTCCAATGGTACCACCATTGGCACCACTGGATTGGCCATTGTCGATCTACCTTCTCAGCAGGTGACCCAACTTACAACCGAGTG